TTGTAAGATTGGTTCAAACAAAGGAGCTGTATAACATGTTGCCACATTTATCTCTGGGGAATAGAAGACAGCCATCCTTTATAACGTATAAGCTTTATATCTCTACGTTTCAACAGCTGGTAAAAACAGTGACGGCTTTAAGTAGCCAAAGAGAATGAAACATCAGGGTATTCATTAACGTGCATTCACAGAAACCTGCTGACGACGACAGTGATTGGGTAGTACAGAACATGCTAAGGTCTTTGACATCACCAACATAAGTCAGCCCAGAGCCTCAATAGGCAAGACAAAAGTACAATCATCACCAACTTTCTGGACAATTAGAATGACCTTATGAAAACATGTACATTCAGTTTGTTTAATTAATACCATATATTCAAAATTAATACTTCTTAAGAAATAAAACATAGTACTTTGTTTCAATACCAATCGTGTGTAATGAATGTGCAAGGCAAAGTACATACAATGGATGCACAAATACTTCATCATGGAAACCAGACTCAGGCGCATAATATAAACTTGTTGAAGGATGAAATATTTAAAATCTGGTAGTCACTCTGAAGAGTAAATACATCATAGCAGAAAGTAGCAACATGAAAATTAAATTTAAGCAACTCAGGATTTCTACATACGAGGAAGAGTCTATCATTAGCTGTTCTAATCACTCTACTAGAAGAATGATACTCAAACCCCCGCAGCTTTTGCTCACAGATCTTAGACTCGTTGTCCCTTGTACGGAGACATTAGAAGAAGTCTGGGAAAAAAAGTAGGTTGGCATCTCCAAGTGTCAGTTGGTTCAAGAAGAATGCTGAGCCTTGTCTTATAATGCTACTAGACTCTCTTATCATCTGTAACAGGCAAAGGTTGTGTTAGGCTGGGTCGACTAGAGAAACAAATCCAGTGACACTCATTTATGTGTATTAAAGAGCCTTATATCAAGGAGCAATTATATATCAAGAGAGCATCCCAGCGCAGTCCAACTCGTCGGTAAGTCCAATATTAATCCATATGTCCCTCCTCAGACTCACATGGCCACATGCAATGGTGCGGAATGCAGGAGGATCACAGGCTGGTGGGTGCAGAGTCCTGTGGATCGGAGGGTGTTGGACCCATGGCTGGGCTCCAGCAGTCCTTAGGGTCAGTGGCAGAGAGAGAGGAATTCCCAGGGTCCTCCTTATAAGAAGGTCAAACACCCAAGGAGACAGCATCAGGCTGTGACCTGGTTGACAGGTCTGACCCCACCCTAGGCAGGAGTGTCTAGTTGACAGAAAATCGTCTAAGGACCACAGGGGAGAAAATTAAAGGTGGAGCTACCCAGGATTACAGCAAGCTTCCCCCCTGCTACTCTCCCCAAGTCCACATCCTTGCCTCTGCTTCCTCCCTCCCAAGGCCTCTGAGCAGCTTCCATTCTTTCTGTCACAAAATCAGGGTGGGAAGGGGGTGTTGAGTGGGAAAAGGATGATGGAACCAAGCAAGAACCCAGTCTCTTTGACCTTGCAGCTAAGCACCACTGTCTAAGACCCAGGGGGCCAGGCTGGGGGCTCTTCTGAGCCTGTCCCTGGCCAGAGCTGAGGCATGTGACTTTCTGGTGTCTGATGTCCATAGGGCCTGTTGGCATGGACCGACCTTGGAAGGGTGCAGAATGAGCAAAGGAACTTGGGGCAAGGTGCTGCTTTGTCTCCACGTGGACTCTTGGTGGCAGCTCATGACGACAACAATAACACATCTATATTTAACACATTGTAATAAAATGTAGGCATACACATCCACACACACTGGGGGAAGAACAGCAGTGTTCGTCCTGTGCTACCAGGATGACAATAGAACACCTCTGGGATTCATACTTACTGAAATCTTTCACAAACATCAAAATAATGACTGTGGACTCTACATGCGTAGGGAATTTGTGATACAATGGTGGGTAAACAAAACACTATTCCATTATAGGAGTAATGTAAACTACATATTCGCCTATCACATAGATGGAGAGCTCTATAGAATAATGAAAATATTCTTATATTTTAGAGATGAAACTGTGGGAGAAGAGAACTTTTCTTTTGATTACTTTAATCTGATATGTTCTTGTACAATAAGACTTTTAAAATCTTGCTGAAAAATTGGTTGAATTGAATCAATTTTGTAAGATTTGGGTTTTGTTCTTCTCTGCTGCTTTAAAATGATGCTTCCACAACTTCGCTTTTGGATTTGAGGACTCATGTGTCCGTAATGTTGTCATTTACTAATACCAAAAACATTACTTGTACAGAATAAAATCTCAAAACGAAAGTGTGAAAGTAACAGTGATATTTTCCCCCCACCATTGAAGTATTAGTTGATACGCTGCACCAGCCGGACTTGATTTATATCCGGGGAGAACTGTACTTCCCAGAGACAATTGACTGCAGCAACCGGGAATTTGTACAGTGCAGAGCAGAAGTTGTAAATGTCATGAGTAATGCCATCCTCAAGCTCCTCTCCTGGAGGTCAAGGAGCTGCCCATAGGCACACACTGAAAACAAGGCCAAACTTAGAAGCACGGTCATCTTGCAGCAAAGGTATGTGGCCTACTGGGCCCGACCAAGAGAGGAAGAGCCAAGAGGGTTCTGCAGAGAGGAGCATACCCACTCAGAGGAGGAGGAACGGGGACTACACTTCTGTGATTTCCCAGTTTGGTTTCAGGCTATATCTTGAAGGATTCCTTGAAGCCGATAAGGAAAACATTCTCCCTGCTGGTGTGTCAATGTGACCGTCACTCTCAGTCTGTCCCTCTTACTGCACTGCGTTGATTTTCGCCTTGTCGTGCAGGGAATTGTGTAATATGGTCTTCTCGCCGTAGGTTTTGTAGCTCCCACCAAATGACTGCAAGGGTTCATGCAAATTGAAGGGTTTCTTCTTTTCGTGGTTGAGAAGATGGGGGAAGAGGCTGATAGAATAGAATACAATTCCGTTGTGACTGATTAACAGCGTGGACTGTGAGAGTAAAAATTTGGAGCACGCACATAAGGATTGATCCATTTTTGCCCTCAGAAGCAGGAAAAGGGATCGTACAACCTTTTAGGAAGACGAGTCAGGAGTAGAGCTTGTCCTCAGAACCCCGAGTCATCGAACCTCTTCCTGCTAGAAGAGGGAGCTGTGACACTAGAGAAGCCGAGGTGGCAGCATCGGGGCACTAGACAGAGGGAGGACTTCCTGCAGCCTAACCTCGGGGCATTGAATAGCAGCACTTAGATAGTTCTGTAACATTGCCCGTTCAGGGCAGAGGCCAGTTTGCCGTGTGCCTGAGAGGATGAGGGCCAGAGAGAGATGTGCCTGAAGCCATGGCTGAGAAGAGGTTGGATCCTGAGCATTTCTGGCAACTTCCCCCAATAAATCCCACGATGAATAATGTCTGTGAGTGCTGGGTGGCTATGGAGATGCCTTCCTGGGGCCAGCAGAAGGGGGAAGGGTGCCGTGGGAGGGACGGAATCGCTAAAGTGGGTTAGAGGGGGGAGGAATCACTCTTGGGCTGATGTTGGCTTTGTTGGTGCTCTGTGAAATCGGGGGTGGTCAGGTGCCCCCCACCCACCCACCCCCACATACTGCAAATTATTTTGTTACATTGTGAACTGAAGGACCTCATATCACTGTGAGATTTGCAATACCATGAGGCTCATCTTTTGAAAGAAAATTCGATTCTAAAGCGTATACATAATTGAGAAGGGATATAAAACTAGAAAGTATCAATCACTCGCAGCAAGCTCCTCTCTAAATGCTATTTCGGGGAATTTTGATTTTGTTCGTGACAACACATACCCCTCAAATTCTGGGCTTGATAGGATGCTTGCCAGTACTGCACCCCTATAGTCAGGGAGACTGCGAGCAGATGTGATTTGAAAATGCTCAGTGACAAGGTAATCAATAGCATCTGGCATTATTAATAAAATTGTCTTGGCTGCACAGAAAACCAGATGTTCTTTGTCTTGAGTCTAAAAATCTTTATGTTCAAATTATATGATTGAATATACTTTCTCAATAGCTTAGAGGAGCTTCATAGGTAAGAGTAATTGAATTCAAGTTTATTATAAGAATCTTTGGTGTTTCCTCTGTTGATACACGATAAGAAAACGAAGATCATACGTTAATTGCCTCGATGGTCCTGTTTCAGGCGGTAAATTCACTTGGCCTTTGCCCAACCTTCTCAATCAAGATAAGTCAGGTTAAAATGGGCATCCAGAGCAGCCTGGAAATTGGAAATAACTTCAAAGTGGGCAAACCACATGCAGAGAAAGGTGGGGTCATGCTGAAGCGTGGTTCAGGGTGGGGAGCTGGGCCAGCACCCCTCCTGTACCTGAGTGAGAGCAGAGCTTTCAGAGGTCCGAGCTGCTTCCATGAGTCACTTGTTCGTTTGCCAATTGCTTCCCCCAAACGGAAGTGTCTGCTTTCCTAGACAAGGGTTGAGACCACGGCTAAGGAGACAGCCACAGGCTGACCAGAAACAGATGGGCCGAGAGCCCAGCCTCCTGAGCAGCCCGCTTGCACCTTCTGCGCCGTGCGCAGGGACCAGCCGAGGCAGCCAACACATGCTGCCAATTACCTGCAGAGCCTCTCAAGAGTCAAAAGGCATTTGGGCTTCTTCCATTTTTTCGAGGGTCTCAATATACGTAAAACTGAGGAAATGCCTTTAAAGGAGGGGTTTAATCATTTTCATACGTGTTTAATACTTACATTTAAAGCACTGATTTTAAAACGCACACAGAAATAATTATAGTATTTATGGAACAACTAAACCACAGCTCACTCTGAATAGTGGTTCAGATGATAGGACCCCAGTTAAGTGTTCTGATGTTTTCTCTGCCACCTCACAGTGTAAATCCAGACACGAGCCTCCTGTTTACACTGGAGACCCTTCAGGACTGGGAGGCCTGGCCAGGTGGGCTCTCTTGCTCCAACTCTCAGGTTGACTGTCCACATTTCCCAAATATCCTGAATCAGAAGTATTTCCTTAACCAGAAGCCCAGCACATTACCTGGTCCTACTTATCGTGATCTTATAAAGGAGGCAAAAAAGCAATTTGCAAAGAACGAAAAGGATTTTAGGACGTAAGTTGATGCCGGACGATTGGTAAGCATAAAAAATGGACTTTTATTTTTTGCAGCTGGAAGTGATTCTAGGAATCCCTCAAACTTCGCTCCTTGTTGTAAAGATGCGGAGAGTGGTTTCCGAGCATCTTGTCGACTCTGAGTTAGCGTGCACAAAAGTGTCACGGATGGGGTCCTATCCAAGGAGCTGTGGGCAAGGTCAAAGTTTGGGAACGAAGGCAGCTTTGCCATGGTGTGACTCGGGGCTTGTACCCCAAGAGGGGAAATGCCAACAGAGAGCTCCGGGGAATAGACAGGGGCAAGCCGGCCAGGAAGAAAGGTCAGTCCTAGAAGCAAAGCAAAGGGCTCTTACAGGCGGAGTCCCGGAAAACTGGGTGACATCTGGGTGGTACTGAGAAAAGAAAGGCCGATTCTGAAGTGTCTTCCTGTGAAAATGTGTGTGTGTGTGTGTGTGTGTGTGTGTGTGCACAATAGAAATGATTTCCCATAAACGACTCTGGTCGTATGTTGGGGAGCTGCTGCTGCTGCCAACTGCCAGTCAGTCATTTCCATGTGAACCCCGTGTGTGCAGAGCAGAATGGCGTCGCAGGGTTTTCAGCGCTGGGGCCTTTCCAAAGCAGATTGCCAGACCTGTGTTTTAACGCACCTCTGGGTACGTTCGAACCGCCCACCTGTGGGCTAATAATTGAACCTTTTTCGAGCCTCCCGGGCCTTGGCTAGGAAGCTGCTGTTGTCAGGTGCTATCAGGCTGAGTCTGACATAGGGATCATCTCACCGGTGGAACAAGCTCTGCTAGGCCCTGCCCCTCCCAATTGTTAGGGTTTTGTTATGTTGTGTGAGCCTCTAGTTGCAGCCCTTTGTCCTAGGGCCATGAGGAGTCAGAACTGCCTCTAGGAAGCTAGGAATGGGTGAAGGAGAGAATTGATCCATTTCTTAATAGAATGGATTGGCAGGGTCTAATTCGTTGATCTAGGACATCAAGGGTACTTCCTGGAGATGGTATCACCTTGAAGGGTAGAAAGGCCACCGCCCCTTTTGGGTACCTGATGCTGAGAAGGAAACACAGCCAAGGGCAGTAAATGGTAAAGTGGCCTGCTAGGAAGAGCAGCACTGTGAGCCCTGGCTTTCCACTGGTTCACCTCTTCTTCTACTCCTGCACCCCTCTTATACACACACACACACACACACACACACACACACACACACCATATTTCCTGTGCTTACTGTGAGAACAAGATGGGCACTGTGCTGGAGAGTCTCTGTTGAAGCAACAAGAGCATCTGAGCCTGACTCAGTTGATAGGGATGAGGCCTTTGACACATGTTGATACATTCGGATGTGCTGGGAGCTTCCTCACACCAGGGTGGCATCGGGAGGGAACCCTGAAGAACTGGTTTGTAAAGGAGCTTTCCTGACGTGTAGGAATGATTGCCGTGTTCCCTCACAACTAGGAAACGCCTGCCTTTCAATGTTACAACTTAACTCTAACCTGGATTTTTATAGAGAAAAGAACAAAATTAATGAAGAGATAAAAGTCCTAAGGCAGCGGCAGGACAGAATTGACAAGGAGATTCATAGGTTTGTTTCTTATTCAACTTTTAAGAGTTAAAAATATATATTTTAAGCAGATAAATTTATTACGTAAACCTGCAAAGGGTTTGTTATGTTAAACTTCATCAACTCATTCATCTGCAGAGAGGTTTTCTATGCGACCGTTCCTCTGAAATAAAACTTTCCCTTTTCTTATCCACAAAGTCACCGATTTGATCATTCAATTGACATTAACCTTATCCTCTGAATTTATTTCTCCAATTATAGTCCTTATACCCAAGGCCTTTTAAACATCAACCTATAGCCACACCTGGTTATAAAACAGCTTACTGAACTTGTCTGTTGTAGGCAACTTATTGGTTCCCCTTGTGCCCTGCTACTTCCCCAACATAAACACATATTTTTCCTCCACTGAAGCATGGAGTGGGCTCATTTTTCTTTTATAAATTAAGAATATAAAAGGGAAAGCTATAAAGTCATGACACTAACTCATTTCTTCAAAGTCATCGCCGCCCTCCCCCCCCACACACACACACACAAGAATGACTATCAGATGGGTTTGCCCTGCAGAGGAGCCCCCTTGTGAGAATTCAGCCTTGGGCTGGCCACGTTGCCACACTCCTGTGGTGACTATTTTGGAATTTACAAAGCCAGCTTTGCAGTCACATGAGACAATCGAATCCATTAGTTTGGAATTTTCTTTCCATTCTCACCTGATTACCCAACTTCCCTCTTCACAACATCGAAAGGATCACATCCGGGTCCTATTGTGTCTTACAAATTTGCAGAATCCAAATCCACAAACACAGGGCAAAAAGGATTTCTCACCAGTGAATATGCTTAGGAGAATGTAGGGCAATTCTCCCAGCAACACCCGAGAAGCAATGACACATTGTTGGAGAAAGTGAATGGAAAAACCCTTCACTTGGAGAGATGTCTCATGGCCTTATATTTATAGGCAGTTTTAAGCTTCTATTTTTAATCTTAAAAAGAGAGACCTCCAGAGAAGGAAGGTCTGCTATGAATCGGCGACGCCTGTGAAAGGGGCATTCAACCCCCAAAGGGGTCGCAACCCTCAGGCTGAGAACTGCTGGCAATCACCACCACCCCGTTCAGTCTTTCTCATCTCTCTTGCCCAGATCTTGCCCTGGCCAATCTCTGTACCCAAGCTGCCAGTGGGTTCACATTGGTTGCATTTCCACCCCACCTATACTGACGTCTACGTTCAAACAAGGTCCCCACAGCAGAAGGTCTAACTGGAATAAAACAGTTCAAGGCCCTGCTTTGACTCTCTTCCCCTCCTGTCATTCCTCAGTCAATGCCATAGGCAGGTGAGTGCAGTCAGTGAAGGCAAGTCTGCGTGAGCCACCTTCCTGAAGACAGGGCTTCACACTTGGATGTAGTGTGCATAGTGTTTGTAACTAGTCATTAGCCTCGACTAATTACTCTGTGACTGCGGCCGGGTTTCTCCATTTATAAAGTGGGGGTAATAATGGTACCTATGTTATAAGATGGTTGTGAATGTGATTAGGACATATACTAATCAATACTTGGTAGCTGTCCTGCATATTAAATGCTTTGCAAATATTGTTGATGATGTCAGTATAAAGATAATTAGCGTGGTAACCACTTTTCTACACTTTATGACTAGACTCCAAGAAAAGGCTAACAAGAAACCTTTCATTGTTAAGCACGACTATGAGAAGTTCCTGCAGAACCTGGTATGTCCCTGGGTTGGTCCGGGGTGACTAGAGAAAAAAATTCATAGACACTTATATGTGTATAAGAAAGCGCCTTATATCAAAGAGGAATTCTCTATTCAGAAAACATCCCAGCCCAGTCCAGATCAAGCCCGATATTAGTCCAGATGTCCATTACCAATCTATAAATTCCTCTTCAGACTCACACAACACATGCAATGACGCTGAATGCAGGAAGATCACAGGCCAGTGGGTGGAAAGTCTTGTGGATCCCGTGGCAGTGGAAGCATCTCAGTGTTGGCATGGGTCTCCACGTACGTAGCTCCTCCAGCTCCAGGGATCTGGCTCCATCAGTGTAGCTCCATGTGGCTTGTCAACAGGAATGTCTTGCAAGGAGAGTATGTGTCTTACCTCTAGGGAAGAAGACAGGAGTTCCCAGAATCCTCAGGATAAGGCCATGCCCACACCGAGGCTTCATTGGCTGTAACCTGATTGACAGGCTAGACTCCACCCCTTCCTCAAGTTGACAGTAGATTATATAACTGCCACAGTCCCCTCTCTAAAAATAATTGAAAAGCACTTCTGTAGCTTCTCTTACATAAATAATGTTTAATAAGCAATACTTGGCTTAGCACCCAAGTTATAGTGGCAAGGCAGAATACATTCTTGTTCTGTACTCAGCCACATGCCCGTTTAAGGCGATTGTGTTTGCACACCAGTACCACCTTATACCCACTTATCCCTTACTTCTGGCCATGGAAATAGGCAACTGGAAACTTCCAAAGGCATTCAGAATTTTAAATGAATAGAACTGGTTTTAGAAGTCATGTTTTATTTTCCATTAATAATTCAAGTATATTTGAAATCCTACCACCATAGATGAATGGTCTCTGACCTTAATTAGCTGAAACACAAGATAGAACAAGGTTCTAAACCAGGACCCAAGTGGAGGAAAGAAAGGGGAGGATGCTGTTTTCCCTTTCCCACACCAGTTTTCCCGGCTCCTCCTTACGGGGTGGGAAATCCTGCGAAGTCTGGAGGGCCTTCTATTCCAACAAATAGAGCGTGTAAAGAGCAGCCTCTCATACATCAGAAAATTAGACAATCTGAGCTCCAGAAGAAGACACTTTGGCTTTCAGCAGATTGGGTTTCCACTTACAATGCTAGGACAGTCCCTATTGACTATTGTGTTATATCAAAAACAGAGGTCCTGTGTGGCTAAGGGGACAGGGCAGAGGGAAGACTCTGGGGTTCAGTAAAATGAATGATTAGTCTTGTTTCTTTTTCTTTCTTTTCCTTTTAGCACTTTGTATACATATATTTCCAAACCATTTTATCAAGCAGTATTGTACAGTTGCTACCCCAATCCGTTTCAAAACATTTTCTTCATTCTCAAACTCCCTGATATCAGCTCCCCCTCATGCCACCTCCCCATCGTGCCCCCTAGGAACCCTTATTCTAGCTGTTGTCTGTAAAGATACGCCTTGGATAAGACTATTCTTTATTTGCACACACATGATCCCAATTTGGGGTCTATCTTTCATACCCTTGATAGAGACATAGGTATATAAAAACATATTTTCAAAGCAACTGCTCTCGAGGCAATTGTAAGTCACAGCAACTGTATATAAGCCTCTGGATCTTTCTGGGAGCAGGAAGCCCCATCTTTCTCCCACGGAGCAGCTGGTGGGCTGGGAAGGCTGACCATGTAGTGAGCAGCCCAACACTTACCCGACAGCACCACCAAGGCTGTTAAATAATCACAGCTCTCAGACGGGACCGGGCTTCAGGGCCAGGGAAACCACCAGGTAGTATGGCTCATTGGAAACCCTATGCCTCATAGCTGCTATCTCAGTGCTTGTTCAATGCTGGTCTTGACTGGGCCCACAAATGGGTCAAATGAAATGCACATGCAGATAGAGATGTAGCCTCTGGGCTCTCAGTTTGCAACCCAGGTCTACATGCTCCCTGGATTTGGAGCTCTTGAAAAGCTGGCTCCAGTCAGTATAGACAGTCTTCCTCTTCCCATGTTCGTGCAATCCCTTCATTGAGCCCTCTGCACATGCCGTACTGGCCTGTACTTACATGTTTTGCTCAGCTGCGCTGACTCCTCGTCACCTTCCAAAGTCTGCTGATCGTTCAGGCCCTGGCCAAGTTTCATCTTTTACAGAAAGCTTTTTCCAATAGCCCTTGTCCATATCTTTCCCAGGCATTTTTGGTATGTCTCATAACTTCTAGAACAACACTTGGTAATGACCGTTTGAAGGCTAGTTCTTCTTCAGGCCAGAAGTGGAGACAAGCACAGAGGAGACCGTGGTTCACATGACTGTGTCTGCCAAGGAAGACTAGGTCCCTCAAGCTCATGGCGGCTGGGCATTTTTAACTCACCAGAGGAGAAAACACACGGTCAAAAATTAAATGATACCCGTGAACCAAGTACCTTGAGCAGATTATATGCCTACCCCAAATCCTTTGTGGATCTAGGGTAAGTATATAATTATATGTATTAATATTAATTTGAAATTTAAATAAATGTGTTAGATTATTGGGTTAAAGGAATTTGAATTCTTTCAACAAAATATAAGCTTTCTAAGCTATTTACTTGTGTTTTTCCTAACAATAAAAATGTATCTGAAGTTTGAAAAAGGATATTGGCTTTACTAGTACTTTAGGTATAGCTGTTGGTTGCCCTTTGGGAAATGTTACAAGAGACTTTACTTAGACTTTTCTGAAACTGACATTTTTTATGATGATGTGTAATCTTTGAAATGCATATTAATAGGATACCAAAAGCTATCCTAGAGTAATAGAAAATTGGGAGAATTCTCCGGATAATCTGTTTTAATATCATTGCTATCCCAATTATGAATATATCAGCAAAATGCTTTATAGTCTGAATCATCAAATAACTCAGCTATAATTTCCCATAGTCTATCCATTAAAGAATCCCATTCATCAATCACCATTACATAGGCAAAGGTTTCTACTAACTTTTGATCTCCCCTGTCTTCTAAATATCCTAAATTTTAGCAAGCACTCATAGCTACCCACCAGCATGACCAAAAACAAACCCAGCACTCAGGTGAAAGCCTTCTCTGACTCGCCATCACTCGCATCCCTGCAGGCCTGTGCTATCCTGGTCTACCTGTACAGCACGCCTGGAGAGATACTCACGGAGCCAAAAGCATGGTATGGGTGGAATGTCCCACGGTAGTAGGCTTGCTCTTTGGACTGCAGAGGCTTTTGAGAAAAGGTAGGGCAGGGTAGGCAGAAAGGGAATTCCATGAACAAATCAAATTATTTGAATTATCATCCAGATAATTCTCCCTTTCAATGTGAATAGAAGTCTTTTATCTAAGTTTCTCTATTAAATGATGAACTGGAAACACAGGGAATCCAGGGTGGATGATCCCTTCAGGACCAGTGGTGTGAGTGGTGATACCAGGAGGGTAGAGGGATAGTGGGTTGGAAGTGGGGAACCGATTACAAGGATCTACATGTGACCTCCTCCCTGGGGGACGGGCAACACAAAGGTTGGTGAAGGGAGACGTCAGACAGGGCAAGATATGACAAAATAATAATTTATAAATTATCAAGGGCTCATGAGGGAGGGGGGAGCGGGAAGGGAGGGGAAGAAATGAGGAGCTGATGCCAGGGGCTTAAGTGGAGAGCAAATGTTTTGAGAATGATGAGGGCAATGAATGTACAAATGTGCTTTACACAATGGATGTAAGTATGGACTGTGATAAGAGTTGTATGAGTCCCTAATAAATCGATTAAAAAAAGAAGAAGAAGAAAGAAAGAAAAAATAAATAAATAAATGAAGAAAAAGCTCAGGGCCCAAAGAATTGAAAGTGATTATACAGGTGGTATCACATGGTTAAAACAAAAATTAAATGACCTTCTTATCTTAACTGGGGGATTCTTATAAGTGTACAATGTCCAGGGAAAACGGTGCATTCTTAATCATGTGTTATTTTAATAGCGTGATGAAGAGCGTGCTGAGAGGAAATTTCTGGCATCATCATCATCATCATCAGAAGAAGAAGAAGATTTTGAGGAAGAAGATCAAATGAAAGTAGAAAGACACAATTCCATTTAATCCATTTCATTGTAGCAGTATGTTTAATTCAAATACAATCCATGGGGAGGGGTCAATATTCAGTATGTATTTTACATTCATCTCTAAAAATCTTGAAATCAATAAACCTCAGTAAACCATCCTTTAAAGGATCTGTCAAACAGCAATCTTGGCTCTTATTGGTAGAAAAATAGGGAAAGATTAGGAAGCATAGAGAACTTTCAACCATTTCTTTGGAAATACATCTTGATAACAGCAGCCGTTCATCAGGATGCAAAACAGAAGAAAGAGGGTGAGATTCCTGTGGCATAGCAAGTCCTGCCAGCTCCTCAACGCCCCAAATAGTTTGAGATGTTTTTTACATGGCTTAGGCCTCAAGGAAAACCAAAGCCCCGCCTCCAGGTTTCGTGGCAAACAAACTCTGCTTTTCCGGTGCTGAGCTTCCATCAATCCGCTGGTAGTACGCTTCCTGCACATTGGCTAGGAAGCTGGAGAGCTTCTCGGCAGGTACTAACGACACTGTGCAGCCGCCCCATCCTGCTCCAGTAAGTCGGGATCCTTGAGCCCCAAATTTCCTAAAAAGATGAGTGTGAGGGAAAAATCAGAACCTGTCAAGGAAAATGAGAGGGATTTGCCTTGTGTCGATAGAACACAAAGCCTACGTAACTTTGGAGACAGAAACAGGGGCATTTTTGGTGCTGTCAAGCATGATAGTAATTTACACTATTTCAGAAGGTGATCTGAAAATTAAATGTATGTAATGCCCATCCTTGGATTTGAGCTCCAAACAGTACAAGTCAACAGCACTCCCATTGCACCAGGGCTGTGAGAACCCACTTGTAGTCTTGACCATAGAATAACCACTTGCAGAGTCAGGTAGCAAGCCTCTGGGTGAATGAGGAGGACAGAGTCAAATGAAAGCAGGACACTCAACATTAGGCATCAGAGGGTCGCATCAAACAAGAGCAAACCCAAACTTGCCATACACCTTCTTAGGCAAGTGAGAGATTCCTTTGGTGGCTAGTTCAGCTGTATTTATTTTTCAGCTTTATTCTTAAGATTTGGCTATTTCACCTAAAAGAATCAATCCCATAGGATAGCCTAGGATCCCCTAGGATCATTTCGTTCTAGGCTGAGTTGGTTTGCTTAATCCTTAATGGAAATTTATGAAAATGCTCCCACAGAGAGGAGGGTGGCCCCACAGATCTATGTTTCCTGTGTCCTTTGCAGCGGGGTCTGACAACTGGACTCAGAATTCACCATCAGATAAAATGTGTCTGATTGGGATGGCAGCTATTACATGAACTACCACACAGCAGGAGGCAATTTTAGTCACCATCAGCCAGGCGCAGTTGCAACCCTAAGATCTGAACCGTAGTGAAAAGCCCTACATGAAGTTCAAGGGTCACTCATCTTTGAAAGATGCAATTTACCCTGACAACAAAAGTTAACATGTACTTCCAATGCTTCCTAATGACATTTACTCCAAATTAGTAACAGATTAAAAACTCCATAATTAATTTAGCACAATTTTGTCCCTTTTTTCCATCTAAATGAGCTACTTTACTTCCTGGAAAATATCAATAGACTATTACCCCTACCCTAGAACATCAGAATTATTGCACACAAGTAATTCATTTTCCCCTCAATGATTTTCTCAATTGATTTCTTTTCATCATGTTTTATTCAATAAAATATGCTTTTCAAATTAAAATAGATGGCTACAGAAGAAAACAAAAACTCTTGCAGGCAAATAAAGATGACTCATCTCATCCTGTCCCTCAAACATTAAGATAATGGTCCAGTAAGTGAACTAAGCCCAAACACCTACCTACGACCTACGCTAAAGATTGTCTCTGGCCAGGGGATTCCAGGATTATTTTGAGTTCCTGTGCAGCAAAGGGCCCACTTGTTTGATATTAGTCATGCTTTTTTTTTTAAGGATGCCACGTGTAGTCACATGAAGTTACCTTTCACTGAAGAAGAAGCGGAGGACACTGAGGTGTCGCTGAAGCATCTCTGGACGACCCTAAGTTTAGTTATCAGAAGCCCATGGCGTAGTCCAGAAATCAGCAGTGCGCCTACTTACTGTATTTCCCAAACAATGCCCTTTTTCTGGACAACCAGGTCTTTCAACATCTTCAGTGGACTTCTTGGCACACTTTCCCTTACATTTCTTCTTTGACCAGTTCTTGAAGACCAGGATTTTAAACTTGAACCTAAAGCTGTGTATCCTTTACAACTCAAGGGAGCAAAGGTAAAGATTTGGACCAAGCATGTGTGGAACCCATGACAACGTGGAACTACGTTTCCTAGAAAACCCTTGCTACCCCCATGGAAGTTCCTGAGGGTCCCTTGCAAGTTGGGGAACCTTTGAAAGCACTTAGTGCACATGGGGGCGGGAGGCGCAAGGCGGTGGTGGTAAGAAAGACCGAGGCCAGCTGGGCTGGCTGGTAAGGTTTTCCCCTCCCATGAGTTCCTAAATACAATTCTCTTGCAATGCCCTATACCTTCCCAACGTAGATCTTGTTCCTGGAAAGACAAGAACCTAATTCCAGTAACAAAAGGGTCTACCTTCCAGGGCTTCTGCAAGATTCCAGAGCAGGAACTAGAAGTCTTGGTAAATACACTCACTCTGGAGCCCCTCGTATTTCGGGTCCCTGGTGTGTGTACCACAGATCAGTATGGACTGGAGAGCATCCACCACTTGGTCGGAAATCATCCGCGTTCTGATTTCCCAAACAGAGTATGGTGAGTGCTGTTATGAACAACCTTTTACCCCTGAGTTCGTGGGACACGTGTGATCACAAGTCGGGTGGCTGCTCCCGCAGCGGGTCAGCAGCCTGGTTGCTACAAGCACAAGGCCAAATGGCTCTCCGGGCAGTATGCCCCATGGGTTCACTTTGGCATGTGCACAGGAATTCTGAGAAAGATCTAAAACCCACGAGACCAATAAAACTCAACATTCAGAGAAAGAAGTTGGTGAGAAAAATATATTCACTGAAGTTTTCACATTTGTATGTTTTTTGACGGTTTGTTTCCTGGGAGAAATCCTGTGAGAAGTGCTGGTGGAGACCCTGGTCCCTGCACATTCCTCTTGTTCGCTAGTGGGTCAGTATGAACCGCACCCCAATGGAGCTCCAGAAGGAGAACCAGGGAAGACCGCCTGATCCTATAGGAGGTTGCCCAAGGGTGATCACGAGTATTTTCCGACGCTTTAAAAATCCAATCTGTACCCACTTTAGCGAGAGCAAGGCTTTAGTTACCAATTTTGAAAAATTGGGCACCCGAGCCTCAGAAGCCAAAATGGGCCAGGGTGTGCAACAGACATTCTGCAAGCATTTTATAAATAATCCCCTAGTTCGAGTCCCTCCCCCAGTTCCTCACTGGCTGAGTAGTAGGGGCTTAACAATTTTTCCGGGACTTATCCTACTTCCTTAATTTAAAGGTTCTACCGTCTGTGTTAGGCACCGCTGACTAGGAAAACCCATACTCATAAATGTGTAAGCAAGAACTTTATATCAAGAAGTCATTATATAGCAAGAAAACAACCCAGCACAGTTCAACTCAAGTCCATTAGTTCAATCCTCATCCATAAGTCCCTCTGCAGACTCATGCTGCCACATGCAACAATGCAGAGAGAGCATTGAGGAAACGTACAGGCTGGTGTGTGCAAAGTCGCATGGATCCAGGGTCGGTGGAAACAAGACAGGGCTCTGGCAGCTTTTAGGGTGGCCAGCAAGAGGGGTGAGGGGAAAGGGACCCAGTATCTCACACTCTTAAATCATCTTGCAGGTGCCATGTGTTGGCACCAAAAAAACGAACTATCCTACCTCCCCCACCCCACACCCCTTGATTAATCTGATTCACAGGAATCCTTCTCTAGGTACCTGGGTTCTAGCTTTTGTCACATCAGCTGTCGATTTGTGCTCTGGCTACTTAGTAATTTCTTGGCCTTCTGTTCCCTTAAATTGCCGAAAATGACCCAGTTTGGGATTTCTTTCTCACAAGAAGACATTGAAAGCATATCTCTTGCACTGTTGTGCATTAGAGAGGCAATATAAGAGCCATGGAAATCAAAATCCTAACATCCTCCTAAAATTAGATTGGGACCAATGTCCAAGATCATTGGTCCAAGCAACAAAAAGCAGCTTCTGCCTTTTAAAGCCGGCTCTAAACACAAAGGCTGGGACACCTGGGGGTTGGAGATGATATGGAATTTTCACTTTAATCCTTTTATCACTGTAAAATAGATTCATGTAACCAACTATCCAGCACTCAATGTACTCAAAACTCACTGCCATTGAGTCCCTTCCGACTCAGCGTGCCCTTATAGGACAGGGTGGAACTGCCCTTGTGAGTTTCTGAGACTGTAACTAGTTCAAGGGGTAGAACGCTGTCTTTTCCCGGAAGAGCAACTGGCGATTTCAAAGTGCTGACCTTGAGGTGAGCAGCCCGGCATGCAACCACTACGCCATGAGGGCTCCTGTGCACCCAGTGAGAGTCTCACCAAAATGTCCTACATTTAAATGAAATCATTTGACCTATAAAGGAGCTCAAAACAACCAGGTTCTTAGCTTAAGGAGACGTGCCTACCAAAGAAAGATGCAGACCAGACTGTGACCCCATCCCCGTTCATCCTTCTGTTTAGTGCTTGTTCTAAGCTGACTTTCAAAGGTCAGCTCGCCAGCATGCCTCAGGAAGCCCGCGGCCATCCTTCCCCTACTTCCCCGATTATCACAGCACGCTCCCAAAAGAGCATCCCTCAGCCCGACCCCTAGCATCTACATCCATAGATTACCACTGTGAAGTGGCTCAAACTTCATAAAACCAGCAACATAATGTTTAAGGGGTCTTGCCATTTTGTGTCTGTGAAAAGACGATTTTGAAAGTGTCGATCAATCAGAATTTTCTTGTCGTAAGCTCTTGAATTCTCTGTAGAAACCTCCTTTTGAGGCAGTACATGGGGTTCTTTTGACTTGTCTAAATTACATTTTCTGTGCATCCAGTTAGAAAAAGAAAGACTCACAATTTAAACACACACAATAGGTGCTTTTCTTTAAAAATTAGGGTTTTAAATCTTCTTGAAAACATAAAGAGAGTAAAATTTCTCCACTGCAGGCTAGGGTTTGAAAATGAACAAAACAGAATAAGAAATTGTAATTCCAGGTTTCTATTCCAACGACTCAAACTGTCCCAGTACCATCTGCTCCTGGCTAACTCTCTCCGTGTCTTTTGCTGCAGCTTTCCTTCCCTGATTCTAGGAACGATTTCTCCACTCATATTTTCTCTGAGCTTCCCCTTTTCCCTAAAGAACATCCTGTGAAAATAAAGCCTTTCTGAAATGCCTTTCCATATCTGTTTTATGGCAGATATTGCGTATCCCACCACGCACAATACATTTACTTCTTGGACACAGTTAGAATTACCTAAACTTGCTAAACGTTTTCCAAACCTGTGGAAGTTTTCTTCCAAGTTTGTCGAGGTATTTTAACCCTCATTGTGTCTTACTAGCCTAGAATACTCAGTTTACATCAACTGATCTACCTAACTGGACCTAGAGAGTCCCAAATGT